GGGGAGGGGGTGCGGGGCCCACCGTCAGCGCCCCTTGGGCTCCCGCGGAAGCTCCCAGCTTGCGCCAGAGTCTCCCTGCCTCCCAGGGCTGCCCTTTGTGTCCGAGGCCTCTTCGGGGAGAGCGTCGTGGCCCCCTGACCGTGAGACACTGGCCCAGAGCCTAAGCTTCTCCGCGGGGCCTCCTCGCCCTGGGGCTCGGGAACTGCTCTGGCGAGTGGCTGTGCTCTGTCCTGCGTCTCAGCCTTCTCTTGGTCCCGGACACCCCTGCTCTGCGTGTCTGCCAGAGTGCCAGCCAGATGAGACAAAAGGAAATCCCCTGGGCTCCGCTTCCCCTGGGCAGGCCTTCGAGATGAGTCCTGACCGCTGTGGCACATGGGGTTTGCCAGCACAGATCCTTCTGTCATCCCCTGCTGGTCCTGGGTCTTGTTCTGGGTTTGGGTCCCCAAGGCAGTGTGGGGACAGTGAGCGTGACGCTGTCGGCAGGCCACCCATCTCCTGAGGAGCCTGTGGGGCTGCACTCCGCCAGCCCCACCCTGGACGAGGACGAGGACGAGGACGAGGAGCCACCCCGCATCCTGCTGTTCCCCGGTAAGTGCGTCTGGGCGCCTGGGTCTGCGCCGTCCCGAGCCTGTGCCAACGCCCGCACTGAGGGCACGTACTACCTCCTGCGCTGCAGGACCTGAAGTGCCCTTGGAAGGCACATGTCCCCACCCCCAGGCATCCCACACGCAGAGTGGGCACGCTGCCTGGTGGCCTGGGCTGCAGGTGCCTGCTCACACTGGCCGCAGCTGGCGGGGACAGGCCTCGCCCAGGCCCTCCTGTGCCCCCATAGCTGTGCTCCAGAGAAGCCTGATGAGGCGCCCCCGGCTGTCCCTGTGAAAGGGGACAGGGATAAGCGCCCTGGAGTCCGGAGCCAGTGGCAAACACAAGGGTGCCTTTGCGCACGAGCTGGAGAGGACGTGGCCCTGGAGCCCAACACACTGTGGACGTGTCTGCGACCTGTCCTTGACTAGTCTTGCCTTTTTTTTTTTTTGGCCAATCTTCTAATTTTGAAGTATGTGTTCACAGGATGGTGCGAGAATAGCGTGTGGGGCTGGCGGGCGTGCCCTCGGCTCCCCAACGTCCTGCGGGCCGGAGGGTCTCGCATCCAGGGAGCTGGCATGGCCCCAGCTACGAAGGCAGTACCCCAGCATGTGTGTGTGTCGCGTGTGTGCATGTGGTACGTGTATGTGTGTGGCACGTGTGCCCGCGTACCCCGGCTCTGTGCCTCTTTGCCGTCGCCGAGCGAGCGCCGCGCTCGCGCTGTCCCTTCCACGCGACGTGAGCTCAGACTCTGTCCTCGGCGGCAGCCGGTTGCTTCCTGGGGAGTAGGCCGTCACTTGCCCAGGTCCCGTACAGCACTTCGAGGAGGTCGCTTCTGCAGGATCCATACCCTGCACGGGTTCACTGGCCAGAGCAGGGCCAGTGTCCACACCACTGTCCGCCGGGCACCCGAGCTGGGTCTGGCAGCCTCTGGCCGAGCGCCTTCTGAACGTTTGCCTGCTGCCTCAAGACCGGCCATTGACCACTCTTTTTTTTTTTTTTGTCTTGAGTCAGAGTTTCACTCCATCACCCAGGCTGGAGTGCAGTGACATGCTCATGGCTACCCATCGTCCACCTGCTGGGCTCAGGCAATTCTTCCACCACAGCCTTCCAAGTAGCCGGAACTATTGGCACGTGCTACTATGCCCGGCTCATTTTTTTGATATATTGTAGAGATGAAGTTTCACCAAGGTGCCCGGGCTCGTCCCAAACCCTTGGGCTCAGACAGTCCTCTCGCCTCGGCCTCCCAAAATGCTGGGCTTATAGGCTTGAGCCACCGTGCCGGCCTTCAGATATTTCTTAAAGATGAGGAGAATTTTCCAGGCAGAGGACGGCGCCCCACTTCCCATGCCTGCAGTTAACTGCGTGGACCTTCATGTATTATATGTTCCCGTGTTGCCTGCTTCCTCTTCCCTGCAAGTGTGGCTGACTGAGGGGTCTTTGTCTCCAGTGTCTAAGAAGAGCTTCTGTCTCCTACTGGTTGTTAGGATTTTTAAAAATTTAAGTCACTCACTCTTTTTTTTTTTTTTTTTTTTTAGAAAGCAGGATTTATTGAGAGGACAGAAAAACTCTCCCACAGTGGGAGGGGACCTCAGGGGGTTGCCCCCTTTTTTTTTTTTTTTTTTTCCAGTCAAAGTCTCACTCTGTCTCCCAGGCTGGAGTGCAGCAGCATAATCACGGCTCAGTGCAGCCTCGACCTTTTGGATTCTGGCGATCCTCCTGCCTCAACCTCCCGAGTAGCTGGGACTACAGGCATGTGCCACCACGTCTAGCTAGTTTTTTGTATTTTTAGTAGAGACGAGGTCTCATTGTGTTGCCTAGGCTGATCTTGAACTCCTGGGCTCAAGGGATGCTCTCACCTCGGCCTCCCAGTGTGCTGGGATTACTGGTGTGAATCATCATGCCCAGCTATTTGGGGTTTTATTTGCATAGTTAAATTTGTAGTTAATTTTCATGCATAGAAGTTTTTTAGTTATCTCATGATTTAAGTAATTTTTTGCCCATTTTCGACCCTGGCTTCTCAGGCCTCTTAAAAATGAAGCTCTGAGTGTGGGCCTTCATTGCGGCTGCCATCTCATTCCTGTTTTGTTTCCCTTTGTTTTCTTGAGTTGAGTCTCACTCTGTCACCAGGCTGCGACAGCATACTCACGGCCACTGCAGCTTTGACTTGCTGGACTCAGGCGATCCTTCTTCCTCAGCCTTCCGAGTAGCTGGAGCTACGGTGCGTGCCACCATGCCTAGCTGATTTTTTTGATTTATTGTAGAGACGAGGTCTTGCCAAGTTGCCTGGGCTGGTCTCGAACCCCTGGACTCAGGTAGTCCTCTCACCTCTGCCTCCCAGAGTGCTAGGATTACAGCTGCGAGCCATGGCACCAGGCTGCCACATTATTTTTATTTTTATTTTTACTTTTTCTTTTTTGAGTTGGAGTCTCACTCTGTCGCCCAGACTGGAGTGCAGTGGCCGCTCCCGGCCACCGCAGCCTCGACCTGCTGGGCTCCGGCGATCCTTCCGCCTCCGCCTTCCGAGTAGCCGGAACTACAGGCGTGCGCTACCACCCCTGGCTAGTTTTTTATTTATCGTAGAGACGAGGTCTTGCCAAGTTGCCTGGGCGGGTCACGAACCTGCGGGCTCAGGCAATTCACTCGCCTCGGCCTCCCAAAGTGCTGGGATGACAGGCTGAGCCACCGAGCCCGGCCTCACGTCGTTTTTAAAAAATGTCTTATTTGGGAATGATTTTAGATTTACAGAGAGGGCACACACAGGACAGTGTCCCTGCTGACCCACCACATTCCTCATGTTGCCACAGTGTCTTCATCACAACTAAGAGGCCAGTCTGACCAGGCATGTTGCTTTCTGGTCTTGTAACTGGTAGTTCGACTCAAGTGGCACAAGCGTCACCCTGCCTTTTGGATTCCCCTGCCCTTTTAATTATACTCAGATTGGGTTTAAACAATCTCACAGTGATGGCGTTTTCTCTCGCCCTGGCGCTTGGTGCTTGATGTGGGTGTGACGTGTCTTTTGTGTTTCTCTATTCTATTTTTCCTCAATTCTAGAACCACGCTCGTTTGAGGTCGGAATGCTCGTCTGGCTTAAGTACCAGAAGTACCCCTTCTGGCCGGCGGTGGTAAGCACAGCCTCTCGGTCTTCATGGGTGGTCAGTCAGGGCCCGGAGTCCTCATTCCAGCCACCCTGATCGGCACCCAAAGGGCACTCGCTCTGCTCTGGCCTGAGGAGCTTGTACCCCGCAGCTGGTGCTGGCCTTGTCGGCGCCTTGGCGAGGCGGCAGCCAGGCACGCATCCGCACGGCGGTGGCCAGACAACACACGAGCTAAGCGCATTCCGAGCCGGGCTGGGTCTTGCCGCCTGGCGGAGGGGAGGGCTGCCCGCAGGTCCCCTAGCGCTGCCTGCACAAAGCCTCCCCTGTTTCTGTCAGTTTCTGGGGTCCCTGCTGGGCCGGCAGGTCGTGGGAGTGGCAAGTTCCTGGGTGTCAGAGCAGGCGGCCTTGACAGTCTGCGTCGCGGGGCCACGATGCTGCCTGAGCTTCATTCTCAGGGAGCGTCGAGGCGCGGGGTGGTCCAGCCAGGGCGGCGGGTCTGAGTCTGCCGCCATCCCAGGCAGCCCGGGCCTGCTCCGAGCCTTTCCATCTCCTGTCGCTGGTCCACAAAGCAAGAGAGTGTCCTGCCGAGGACAGGAGCTCGAGAGGCCGCTGGTGGCAGAGGAGGAGCCTTTATTGAAAGCCCACCAGAGCTGGGTGCCGTGGCTCACGCCTGTCACCCCAGCCCTTTGGGAAGTGGAGGCAAGGGGATTGCCCGAGCCCGGGGGTTTGAGACCAGCCTGGGCAGCATAGCAAGATCCCTGTCTCTACAAAAAAATAAAAGAATCAGCCAGGTGTGGTGGCGTTTGTGGCCCCAGCTACTGGGGAGGCTGAGGCGAGCGGACCTCCCGGGCCCAGCAGGTCGAGGCTGTGGTGGGTGGCTGTGAACATGCCGCTGCACTGCGGCCTGGGCGACAGAGTGAGACTCTGATGCAAAAAGAAAAAAGAAAGAAGCCAGAGCTGGCTGGCTGTCCCGCTGGACACACAAGCTCCCGGAGGCTGGTGGAGCCTGGCCTAGGCCTCGGGTGTGTTGGGTGTTCTGGAGCTGCGGCAGCTTGTTACATGCCTCAGCTGTGCCTGGAGCTCAGGGAGAGGATGTTACAAGGTGCTTAAACCCACAGTCGTGTTTCTGTGCTCACGCTTTGTTTTCTCGGGTTTGCTGACAGGTCAAGAGTGTCAGGCGGCGAGATAAGAAAGCCAGCGTGCTCTTCATCGAGGGCCACATGAACCCGAAGGGCCGAGGGTAGGCTGCCGTCGGGTTCGCGGGCCACGGTCTGCTGCTGTTCCCACCCGGTCCTCAGTCGTGGGGCGAAGACGTGCCTTCAGCACGCCAGCCTGCTAGATGCAGCCTTCACGGCTGCTGCACGGCCGGTGGCAGAGTCGGGTGCACCTAGTGGACCCTTCTGTGCAGCCCGAGGGTTGGGATGTCGGGAGACCCATTCCCCAGGCCCACAGGCTCTGGCAGGGCTTCTGCCACATCCCTCCTCAAGTGTTTGCTGAAGCCGTGGGGGCCCGCGGGCCCCGCCACGGCGCCCAGTGTGGAGACCCACTGTGATCGCTGTGCCCGCTGGCGGCTCCTGAGATGGCCGCCTTCATGAATACCCTGGCCAGTGGAGGCTTGGGTGGCCTCTGCTGATGGCGTCGGGAAGGGAGGTGTCCGGCCCAGTGGGCGAGGCGTGTCGTGCTAACATCTGCTTCTCTCTGCTCCAAGCATCACCGTGTCTCTCAGGAGACTGAAGCACTTTGACTGTAAAGAGAAGCAGAGGCTTCTGGTAGGTGGATTGCGTGTGCTCGCCTCTTGACAGGGTCGGTGTGGGACTGCAGGGGGTTCTGTGTGGCCTGGGGAGCCCTCAGCGCCCGGGCCCCCAGCGAGTGTGGCCAGCCCCGGCAAGAGCCAGCAGCCACCCTGGGAAGGTGCTGGCCCCTCCCCACCTTACAAATGAGAAACGAGCAGCTGGGTGAGCGGGCAGCACCCGGGCCTCTGCGGGAGCCTGGCGGGGAGCCCAGGTATGAGGCCACCTCCCTCCTGGGGACGGGGACCGGAGGGGCCGGCCCTCGGGGCTGGGCTTCCCACCCAGGGCTTCTCGCAGACCCTCGCGTGTGGGAGGTGAGCTTGCCACCCAGGAATGGTGGGGCTGCGGGCTCGCTCCAGGACCGGGCGGCGAGACTTGGCGGTGGCTTGTCACACGCTGGCCAGGGCTCAAGGAGTCTGTGTAGTCTCTCTCAACTTTGAACATGCTCGTTGTCATAGCAACTTTCAGGCAGAAAGGCAAGCTAGAGACGGGTGACTGTGCAGGGCCTCTGCGGCCGCCATGTCCCCCCGGGCCCGGGTCTCGAGTTTTGCAGGCGGCTGTCTGGCTTGTCCTGGGTTTTGCCACGGTGGCTCAGCTGTGGGTGGCGCTGGCTCGGGGCCGCAGCTACTCTGCCAGCGGCCGTGCCGTCTCAGGCCTGGGCGCGTCCCACGTGGCTGGCCGCTCTCCTCTGACACTCCACTCAGAGAGGCGGTTCCACGTGTGTTGAGGCTTGCACGTCTGTGGCCTGCGTCCCCGAGGGCAACCCTGGCGTGTGCCTGCTGCTCTGCTCACGCGTTCAGAGTTTTCCCACGCTGCCGCAGGTGCCAGGTGCGGGGAGAGGGTGGCGGCCACGGGCGCCCTCATCCTGAGACGCACTGAGCAGAACCTGGCCAGGCATCACACCAGAGTGCACCTTGCTGAGAAGTGCTGTTCCAGCCGGCGGTGGGGGGGAGCCGGGCCTCGTCACGTGGACGCAAGCTAGATACACGCACAGATCTTACTGCAACATCGGGTCACGGGGAGGCGGGAGTCCTTCCCTGGGGAAGGCGTTCGCGCTGCGTGTGATCGGTCGGGCGTGCGTGCGGGTCAGAGGCTCCGTGGTGCGCACAGCCTCTTAGTGAGGCTGGGAGGCCGATGGTCAGGTGGGCCCCAGGCTGTGGCGGTCGTGGGACAGGTGCTCTGCTGGCCCTCAGCCCCAAGTCCTTCGTGGGCTGCTGGAGGCTAGCCACCGTGGCTTTGCGGCAGCTGTGGGGCCACCCGGCCACTGTCCCAAGCGCTGGCCTGTGGCAGCTGCAGCTCCTGCCCGGGCCTCCTGTGACACTTGCCATGTGGCAGACGCCCTGAACGCCCCTGTGGGGTGACTGAGCCGTGACCCTGGGCATGGTGGGTCCCGGGGTGCTCGTCACCCGGCTCTGGGTGCTGCCATGGCCCCGCCCTGCCCTTTGGCGGTGGTGTCTCGGGTCTGACTCGCGCTGCTGGCGGTGGGCTCCCCGTGGTCCCTGTGCTGCTGAGGATGGAGCCTGGCAAGCCCTGGTGGCTGGCCCACCCTCCTGCCGCGGCCCCAGGGTGGCTGCTCGTGCACACAGGGCATCTCTTGGGACGGCTTACTCCCTGGGCTTGTTAGACGTCCCTGTCCGACAACACGTTGGCCTCGTGAGACCTTGAGCTCGGCTGGGGCCACTGGTCACCCCAGCCGTCCTGGGCAGCTCAGGGCCCAGACCCGCCTGTGCCCCTATCCCTCCTGGGAGCCCGCGCAGGGGCGCCTGCCCTCCGCGAGGCAGGACAGAGAGGCTTGGGGCTCTGCCCCTGCTGACGCCTGCCTCCGGGTCTCGTTGCAGAACGAAGCCAGGGCAGACTTTGGCCAGGCCATCGGCTGGTGTGTCTCCCTCATCACCGACTACAGGGTCCGGCTCGGTACGGGGGCCGCACGCTTGGGAGTTGGAGGGCGCTGGTGTGGCCGGGCAGGGAGGATGGGGCTGCCTGGGGGCTGAGCACGTCCGTGGCCCAGGTACGCTGTGGGAGAAGGATGTGGCTCCCGTCCGCGAGGGTGGGGGTCACAGTCCCGCCTCCTTGGGATTCACGTGTCGCTGAGAGTGTGTGTCCCTGCCCCGGGCCCCCTCGGCGACTTAGACGTGGGGGTGTTAGCGACGGTGCCTTGGCGTCCCCAGGTCCCTCTGGGAGACGCACGTCTGCCCTGCAAGCTTGTCCCTGCGTGGCCGTCGTGTCCTGCACGCCCTCTGGGGGGCCGGGCTGTGGGGCCGGGCCTGGACTAGACGGCCCCGGACAAGGCGTTTGAGCCCACGACCCTGAAGGCCGTCCAGATGCACCTCCTCGTCTCTGAGCTGCTTTCTCCCTGCAGGCTGTGGGTCCTTCGCCGGCTCGTTCTTGGAGTATTACGCGGCGGACATAAGTGAGTCGTTGCACGTCCCAGAGGATGTCATCGGCCACTCAGCCCTTCAGACAGCGGCCGGCTGTGTCCGGGGCTGCGCATGGGTCCGGGGGTGGACACAGCCACACGGTCGCGGGACCCCTGGTGTCCCTCTGACCCAAGGCCCGGAGACCTGGCGGGCGGCCGGCTGCAAACTGCACGAGGCCTGCCCTCGTGCCCCTCGTCCCACGAACCCCGTCTGCCCCAGCCCTGCTATAGCCGGTGGTCGCACGTGTCACAGGGCTTCAGAATGCCTGATGTGCAGTGCCTGGCTGGTGCCTCTCCTCGCCAGGCCCGCGTTAGTCGTTGCAGTAACAGGGTTCCATCCCTCGCGGTCGCTGGAAGTGGGGGCAGCCGTGTTGCTTCTGGAGGGGGTGCATGGGGCCTCCCTGCCCGGCGGGTGGCCGAGGGGCCAGGCAGGGGCCAGTCACTCGGAGCATGGGATTCTGCCGCGGGGGGTGGGCCCTGACCCCTCCCCCAGCCCCGCCAGCCTTGCCGGGCCTGACGGCCGCTTCCCCTGCAGGCTGCCCCGTCCGGAAGTCCATCCAGCAGGATGTCTCAGGGACCAAGTTCCCTCCGCTGAGCCAGGGGGACCCCGAGGAGCCTGCAGCGGGGCACTCCCCAGGGCAGTGGCAGCCCCACAGGAAGGTGCTCCCGGACCGCTCGCGGGCCGCCCGGGACCGGGCCAACCAGAAGCTGGTGGAGTACATCGTGAAGGCGCGGGGGGCTGACAGCCACTTGCGCGCCATCCTCGGGCGCCAGAAGCCCTCGCGCTGGCTCTCGACGTTCCTGAGCGCCGGCCAGCACGTGACCTGCGTGGAGACCTACCTGGAGGACGAGCGGCAGCTGGATCTGGTGGTGCAGCACCTGCAGGGCGTGTGCCGGGAGGGCGGCTCGCAGATGCTGGCGCGCCTTCGGGGCGACCGCGTCCGCTTCGTCCTGGACGTCCTCCTGCCCGAGGTGAGCGGAGCGCAACGGGGATGGTGCCGCGTGCTCCACCCGCAGGCAGGCGGCGACCCTCGGGGCAGAGGCCGCCTGGGAGAGAGGGGCTCTGCCTTTGCTCGCCACGTGGGGCCACGGGGGCTCTTCGGCCTCTAGTGGTGCACGTCCTCGTGAGCACCGTGAGTCAAAAGAACTCTTGCGGGCATGGTGGCTCACGCCTGTCATCGCAACCCTTTGGGAGCCCGCAGCTGGAGCCCCATCTGGGCAAGACGGTGCCCCTGGCCTCTACAAACAGATAAGCAAATTAGCCAGGCGTGGTGGCGCCTGTAGTCCCAACTGCTTGGGAGGCTGCGGTGGAAGGATTGCCCCAGCTCGGGAGATGGATGCTGCAGGGTGCCGGGATTGTGCTGCCGCACTCCATCCTGGGCGACAGGGAGGATTCCCCACTCAAAGAAAGAAAAGAGGAAAACGCTTTTAATACCCCAGCACAGCCATCCTAAGTCAAAAAGTCATATAAAGGGACTAATCTTGAACTTGAGCTGGGCCTTGGGGCTTGTGTGGACCAAGCAGGTGATTTTGGAGTTTGAATCAGGCATTTCAGAGAGGGCATCGCCAGGTGCATGGGTGCAGCTGGTAAACCTGTCACCCACTCACAGCTCCCTGACCTCACAGTTGAGGATGCTTTCTTTTTTTTTTTTTTGGAGTTGGAGTTGGAGTCTCACTCTGTC